AACAAGTTCGAATAATTAGTGATTGGTCTTTGCGTCTGTTAAGTTCTCACCAGGACAAATCCTAAAAGGGCATTCACTTCTTACGAAGTTTGAATGGCATGATGCACATTGGGCGGCCGCGATTAATAGAATCGTGTGGGGGTAGCGAAAGCCAGTGACAGTCTACACTCAAAATCCAAACCAAATCTATATGGAAGTACAACAATCATTATTTATATGTGTCAGTGAAATCAGGTGGTTGCAAAACGAGGTGGCGAAGTTTCCCAGAGCATCTTTTTAGAAACCAGTCTATACAGAGAGACTTAAAGCCTCCAGACAAGTGTTGAGGGCAAAGCTGATGGAGAATATATCACGAGAGAGTAGATAGAATCCGGAATACGGCGATAGCTACGCCTTTATAATAATAATATATTTCGTGCAACATAAGTTACATGAATACAAACCAGTTTACAGGTTTGATCATTTGGTAATGAGAAATGACTGTTACGCACAACGTTAAGCTTCTCATTAGATACCGTTGTTCGTGGCACATAAGAGGTGCATCTAGAGAAAGAACATTAATACTTCGCAAATTAGTTGTCCAGCTTACGGAAGCGAGCTTAACTGGAAATTTAGAATTATTCTTCCATTGCTTGAATCTTCCAATATTCTTGAAGGTGGGGCAGGTAGTACGGTCATAACCTTGGGTTGTGTGCTTTTTTCATAAGGTTTTGATGGCATGGTACACACTGACAAACGCGATTGCTAGGATTCCATGTGGACGCAGGACAGGTTAATTAAACCTTAAAAATGAATAACAAAAGTGAGTGGCAGGCAAAATTCGAAACAGAAGCACAAAAATACTACGCAGGAGTAGATCAACCATGATATATCTGGGTTAGTTCTTTGTAGTGAATACAAAAGTTACTTGAAGAAGTGTCTAAAACCATCTATTTAAAGGTAGGCTTATGGGGAGGAAGATGAAGGTGCGTGCGACGGTAATGAAAATTAGTCTGAAGCCGAAGAAAGCACTACGAAGTAGGGATATTAGAGGATTTTGGACCAGGTGTTCACTTATTATATACCTATGTACAAACGTTTGATGAAGTTATAAACATTTAGGTGAAATTCATGGTCTTTGCTAAGATGGTACCCACGCTTTATATATTCATGGTGGAGGGATGATCACGGTGTCGCCTGCTGAGCGCTACCGCATCAGGGCTATAGAAACAACATGGTGGTGCAGAGTACGTACATATAAGTACTGATAGAAAAGGGAGAATAATAAAACATGTTATATGTTTTATTCTCGCGTTAAAAAAGATTTTAACATGAAAGAAGCCAGTCTACGGGCTTCATCACGTTAATACATCTCAAAATATCCACAAGACTTGAGCCCTGAGTGGTGCTGACGGAATGTCGTTAGACTCAATTAAAAACCAACGATGGTCCTGCTAGTTATGAAGTGAACAAGGAAATATTACTTTACAGTGTACGTAGAGTGTTGTGAAACCAGGCCCAGGACTTTGAGACGACAGCAAACGACAGTCCCACTTGATGCCGAGGTCATCACTGCGGTCATCAGGCAAGAGCTTCAAACTGGCCTTGACTCTTCAATATCCAGATAAACCTCTCAGGAAAAACACAGCTGGACCGGTCTCGTTGGAACTGGCTGCCCTGTAGCAACTTAGACGATTGCACATGACCTTTTATGGCCGGCCACCACTAAGACACACCAAGTTGTTAGAAGAACCTCCAAGTATCTCTATAGAGGTGTGAAGGTGACAGGGGTAAGGCCGGGAAGCTACAGCTTCTCTGCTCCTACCCTTCTCCTGAGATCGCGGCCCTGAGAAAAACTTGGTCACCACTGGATATTGGCGGCATTGAAGCTTGTATAAACGCTATGCATCCGTTCAGGAGAGACAGGGAGCACAAGGAAGAAGGCGGAGTGGTAATGATTGTGGGTGATCACTTCAAAAGTAAAAGAGCAGCTGGAACTCCACTTCCAAGGCCCTCAAACTTCATCTGGTGCCACTTAATGGCTTGGCACACCAAGTACCGGGTAGGTCGATCTGCAGAGCTCTAGCTAGCAGCATGGGGCATTACCAACGCTATGTGCGATGTCTACGAGATATGGCTAGATCGTTGTAGCGGGGGATTTTAATGCCTCGATTCTCAATCTTGGGCAGGACAGGGCAACCCCAAGCAGGGTGTTCTATCAAAACCCGCTCAACATTTCCAAAAAACCAAACTGTATGAGAATATTAGCGGTGGTGTTTGCGGGGGTTGGGCGGAAAACCGTCCAAATTGGAATACCTTCTTACCAGCGGCCATCCACCTGCAGAAAACGTTCAGGTTCGAACTCCGTTCAGCAGCAGCCATCACGGTATGTTAGCGTTCGGTCTGGTATTCACTGGGCGGCTGTCATGCGCGGTATCTCGCCCTTGTCTTTACTGCATCTAGGCAGGCTATGCGGCGGTGAACCAATATCTGTCGACAGCTCCTTGGCCTAAGTGTTGCAGCACCTTGTCTATTGATCAACGCTGGAACTGCAAGAAATATTATCAAGAAGGCTACCTCCGAAAACCTGGTCACAACAGTTCTGAGGAAGCGAACCTCGTGAATGAAACGAGGCCTTGAAGGCTCCTTGGAGGCAGAGAGGAAAGCGTGACATAGCTGGAGGATCCCCAGAAAAGAGTTGGATCATAGAGCATCGATGCGACGTCAAAGTGAAGAGGACAAGAGGCCATTTTGGGCAAACCTTACCCGGAGGCTTTTGGCGAAATCCGAAAACCTATGCTGATACATGGCAGAGAGGAAATACACCAGCTTGAGCGGCCTGAGTTATGGAGGGCCCGAACGGAAAGAACCTCGCTGGACTAGAGATAGCCGCGACCCTTAGCACCGCCTTCAACACAACTGAACGTGCGGTTAGCGACTACCCGAGCAGCCTTTATCACTACCCAGTGCAGCTTAGTCTTATGGAATAAGGGCAACCCCCTGCTCTAGTCTCCGAAAATCCATGAAAGCTACGTGCAGGGAACTCGCCGGGATACGGCAACATCCGGGCGGTTGTGCTGAGAGAATGTGTGAGTTCTGTGGGCAGTACGCTCCACAGTCTGTTTCAGTACTTCCTGGAAAGACACAAGCCTTTACGAGGGTGGAAACGTGCTATCCTGTGTTCCAACTCCGCAGGAGATAGATAAAACCAGAAGTGCTACTGACCCATAGCACTCCTCCCAATGCTGTCAAATGTAATGGGGATTCTGGAAGACGGCCTTGCCGAGGGGTAGTTGAACAAGGGAGGGACACGAAGAGATGCTCAGCATGGTTGCTTGGGGGGCAAGTCCTGCATCTCAAGCCTTCTGGAAGCTGGTGATAGGCGGATAGAATGCTGGGACCTCCGAGTTCCTGTTCTTGCCATTTTCCTGGATTTTTTCAAGGCCTCTGACACAGTCCCACACACCACACTAAATATCGAGAATAATTTTTGGCGTCTAAGTGCTCTGTTGGCTGATGGGCTATTTAGATGACAGAAAATTCTGCACAAATATCAGCAGGGTCTGCCCGTCTTTGAAGACATCACCGCCTGGCATATTACAGGCAGTGAGTCTGGGCCCGTTGCTATTCCTCCTTTTTGTGAACGACCTTCCGTTGAGTCTTAGTCCCCCAGTCCTACCTTATGCTGATGATAAGTTATGAAGAGCTGTGACATCCAAAGCAGAGCCAAGTGCACTGCAAAGTGATCTCGGACTGTTTGCAGAGTGGGTGGAAAATAACCGACTAGCATACCAGACCATGTTTTTGCGCTTCCCTGACTCCAAAGAAAGTATCCTACTCCCTCATGGAATTCAGCTTTCCCACAGCACCACAGAGAAAGACCTGGGACTAACACCAACTGACAAGCAGGACACTAGCCTCAATTACCCAGGAGATACCTTCGGAGCCTAAACAGTACCGCGATTCATTCGGAGATAACTAGGTGTCCTCACTCTGGAACTCTTTCTGAAGCTGTGTGAGACCTGCACGCGACCTCACTTAGAGGCCCACAATATTACCGCACCACCACACATGAAAAGGAATGTGAGTTTCCCGGTGAAAGCCCAGAGGCGAGCAACGAGGGGTGTTATGGGAATGAAGCAGAAACCGTACGAGGATAGGCTAGGGGACTTAAAGCTACAGCCTCTTAGCTGCCGTAGGTTATGTGATGTCTTGATAAAAGTTTGTAGAATACTGAGTGATCCAAGTCATGCAAACGGTGGTGTCATACCTAGCGGCCACTGCGGCAGTCGTCGTAGTAACCCGTGAAAAGGGCGAAAACCTGTTTGCGTTCACACTTCTCTCTGTGAGTTTGAGGCCACAGGAATGCACTGCCTGCAGAGATAGCTACTACCGTGTCTGCTGACTGCCTTGAGAAGAGGTTGAGCAGCTGATGAGCGACACATGGACTGCGCCCATGGAGCTGGGATATGGACCAGGTTGATACAACCTACTAACTGTGCGCAATCCAGCGTAGCCGACCCTATACCGAATCTTTTGTACTGCCACTGTCATCACGAACCCGATTGAACCTCATACTTTGCTGTAGGTGTCTTCTCCGGTTACCAACCCTACTAATGGTATTACTACCTCTATTCCCATAGCCCTTTCTACAATCTTACTAGCTCCTTCTCGTCCCTCTGACACCCTGTTCTCACACTATTTATCAGAGTTCTCCCTATTACTTATATCCTATGAATCTACCTAGGTCTCTCCTTCCCTTCCGTTCCACTCCCTTCTACCTTGTCGGTTTTCGTTTCTTTTTCTTCACACTCTCTCTCCCTTGATTTCTCCGGAAACTTTTCAAACTTTTTACAACCAATGCGACCAACTATCTGCTAGCACGACACTCGAGAAACCCATCTGCACCACACAATCCCTACAGATTTAATTAACATCCAACCAGCAGTCCGACTAGTCTGAGATACAATAAGTGAGTGAGCTTAAAATAACTCGTGAAACATTGAATATTGAATGCCCTCGAGTGGGTTTGCGCGGTGTTTACAACCGTCTCGCCACACGTGTAATTTTATTACACTGTACTTTAATCTCTTATTCTTTGTGTCTTTCCACACATTACACGATTGTTCGTCTACAAACTCACAAATAAACTGGAATTTTCAATGTGGTGTCTGTAAAGTTGTTCACAGCTTCTCATTGCCTCTGTCACTGAACTGAAGAATTTACCTGAAGTCGATTCCAGATCTCTAGCATTTCCTCACTGATGTTGTCAACTACTCGCCAGTGGTCCGAAAAGTTTGTTATAAAGTAAGTATTGACAACAAAAGTGGATTCATTATTCACTCTAGGCATCCTTGGCATGATGTTGTCAGTTCTGTACAGATTAAATACCCTAACCCTTACAATCCAAATGTACTGAACATAGATGTACTCAACCGCCATGTTGATTGCGCCAGTGGTGTAATACGCAGCTGCAAACTTATTAATTCTTCATGGCCTATGTTTAACGTGGGTTACCTCAGGGCACTAGAATATAGCTGTATTCAAGTACCAGAGAAACGTATGACATCAAAGACTGTGAATATAGACCTTCACGGTGTTCTCAACGGCTCAGAAATTATGGAGTATACTGTTCACCCCGAAAACAAAGACTGGTATGTAGCTTATTAGTCAGTATTGTGTACTCATTTTTCAATTTTTTTACTAAGTTGTTTCAAAATAGAAGTTGTACACTCAGTAAAAGTGTCACTGATCTTTCTGATCCGTCGTCCAGGCTGATTGCATATCTGTTGTGGCCATGCAGATATTTTCCTAGTGATGGAATTACTTGCATTTACTAGTATGTAGCTCAATGGTACTACTCAGCCTTCGATGAATTGTATACTAGTTGGTCTGCCATTTCCTGCGAACACAGTTCAAAGTCAGAAGAGAGCTAATTCCCAGTTGAAGCAGTTAACTGCTACACTGTCGTCAATATGAGATAAGAATGCTCCATTAGACGTAAACTCATAATGATATAATAGTAGCGCAGGTTTGCATATGGTTTCGCCAACACCTCTACATGATTATTTGATTGAACGAGATTGTTAACATACTACATCTACTGCATATATAAGTATTTGAGTCACCTGGTAAATAAGCCAAGATCTTGTGTATGCTTCAAAGTGACACATGTAGGCTAGTATGGAAAACTGCTGAGAATTTTTTATACTTTCGTGTAACCAATTGTCACTAGATAGAGTTATGCATGATTCTGTGAAGAAACTTAGGACAGAAGTTATGGAAAGTAAAAAGAAATATCGTAACACTGATGGTTGTTGTAACTTCTGCAAAGATTTGTCAATCAAGTAGAAGATTATCTTGAGACATTTGTTGTTGCTCATTGGGTGTGGTAAGTACTGATATGGGCTGTGACAACTCGGACCGTTACGCAGTAATGCCTGGTCCTATGTTGGTGGTAAGTAATTTAGCACGAAACCTTTTGACTTGGTGCAGTCACCTTTCTTTGCATTTGATGCACTTACATGTAATATTACATTTTCATTAGGTTTAGTCAAACCACTGTGCTTACACACTATCATTGGCAGAGTAGTACGTCTATAAAATTATTTTGCGAACCTTACTTATTTTTTAGTTGCAATAAAACCAGAGTGCGTCGCTTCATATACTGTTTAGTAGTCAACCTAGTATTTCAGAACTTTTGTCTTGCACGCTGACAGAATGATCACCCAACCACTAATAATGTAATTCATCTACTCGGTTCAGGTTTGTGTTTTAGGCTGAGACAAATGCGTGTTGGCTTACGACACCATCCATTTCCTTGGCCAGATTAGAACCCAAGACCCACCACCTAAAATTCGAGCGCCATATTTAATGAAACTCAGTTCCATAGAAAATCACACATTTAAGCCATTTAGTTTTAATTATCAATCTATTTTTAGTAAGAATTGTCCTATGAGTGAGAATTATATATTGATGTATCAACCTAAAACGCAACAAGAAATTTCGCATTATCGTCTCACTCATTTCCGAACTACGACAATGTTTCGATTTTTATATAAAGTATAGGGGGGGTCTATGCTCATGGATCACGTCTGGTTAGCACAGATATGTTGATACCATGCCATGTTTTCAGTCCATTATAGTATCTAAAAGTAGGGCATGACTGACTTATTTGGTGAGGGAGTACGACGACACAACTCACTGTTAGTTACTCCATGTGGTTAAAGTTCTTATTTCAGTCTGTTATATAGTTGCTCGTTAGTGATTTTTTTCTCTGAATTGTTGCTGCTGACGTAATGTGCTTTTTAGGACTGTACTCGAACACTCCATTTCAGTGGAAGCATTTTCACTCATCGCAATGTCGGCCATAAGCTTTTGCAGGCAAACTGCATATCAGGTACGTGTCTAAGTTTATTGTTTTCATTTTTCTCTCAGTCTTGAAGCTTTGTTAGAATATAATGCTTATATTATTTCGCAAAGTTTGAACATCAATGTACACCAGGTATGCTGTTTGACCATATCGTCACTAGTGCATCTGTAAAATTTATTGAAGTCATTTGGGTAAAACAGATTACTGTTGTTGATTCACTCGTAAGGTGACGATTGAAACGATAGGTGTAACACTTCGAGGAACAGTCTTACTAGTCTCCGGCTACCATTCCATTACGCAATATCCAGTGGTATCTTGAATGAAATACTGATATTAAGTCTTCTCACTGTTAGAAATGTTGAGATGATCGTAAATAATATGAAATGAGAAAAAGAAACAAGGCTAGATAGGCTGGCACAAAATGTATTTAAAGGCAGTGGTCGAGGATTATTGGTTAGATTAATTGAAGTATTATCTGGGGTATGTGAATCCGATGTCATCCCTTCTAGTGAATATCAATCGCTGGTTGCCGCAGTCCTCACGAATGGAAAAGTATCCTCCTGTGATGACCATGAAGGAATCGGTCTGAAGAAATTCTACGTTCATCACTTGTCTAATTGAAGCTCGGGAACAGCGGACCCGTAAAAACTAGGTGCGTTTCAGGCTTTGTCATAAATCTATCAACCAAATATTCAACCAACCGCCAGGTTTTGGAACATGGCCATGCTTACTGAGGCCCAACACTAGCTGCATTTCTTAACATAAGGGTTACATTCAACTGTTGACCAAGAGATCTTAAGACAGTATCTCTCATTGAAAGGCAAGCCGAGTAAGTACACCATCCTACTAAAGGCTATGTATTCGAACACCTATGGGCGTGTTACAGCCTATGGTTAGTCATCAGTTTAGCTATATATTTCGAACGATAAGCGTCAAAGATATTCACTTTCTCCAATTCTATTTAATTTTATCAACCAGTGGTATAACTTTGTCTCAAAACTTCATCAACACGGTGTACCATATTTACACTATGGTGGTAGGCATTTTTTCGTTTTACCACCACTCAGGTCACTTTTCTGACACTGGAGGATCTCTAGAAGCAATCTTCTTAGCTGGCAAAGTTCACTGAATTAGTGTGATATGTTAGTCCAACCACCACATGTACATGTAGGTAGCAACTTTCATTTAGGACTTGGATGATAGGGTTGACAAAATAGGCGATGCAGATATCTGTAGATTCATGTTATAAACATACAGGCCATAGTTGTTACGAATGTCCTGAAAGAAGTTGGGCGCTGATATTCTGCTGAAGAAGCTGTGGCATACACAGCAAAATGTTCAGAAAAACCTTGTTTTAGATTTTCTAAACACGCTTGGATTATATTAAAACTTACGTATATAGTGAGTTATGTTATTTTCATTTAGTTGTAATAGTGAGTGTGTATGTCTGTTATCATTCTGCATACGCATTCTCTTCTCCGAAACCAAGAAGTGCTCCGCACAAAGTAAAGTGAAAGAAAAAGAATAACAGAGGTAAGAATTCGAAAGCAATTGAATAAGGATTGAAAAAAAAAGAAACAGTCACCTTCTGCACATCCATGCACTAAGCAGTGGGCCACATCTATTGTATAAAAGTTAGTGATACTACATGGCTGCCCAAACTTCGGTGGATGGAAGGGGTTCGAACCCACGACCCACTGGTTGATTGTCGTCTCCCTAAACCAGTGAGCCACAGTCCCGCAATTGAATAAGAGGCTTTTATTGCCTCTGCACTATCGCTCAAAGCAGTGGAAAAAGCAACTGTAACATCATCTTCACTAATAGACCATTCAAACGACTGCTCATCATTTGTCATCGTGACATAAACAGATCACTCCTTCATTTCTTTCATCTAGTGCTGCTACCAACAAACAGTGAACAGTTTAGAAACCTATGGGATGCATGCATAAAAAGCGTTAAGGGGTAACTTCAGGTAATGATAACCATCCTTCTCAGATAAACAATATGATACCTTAAGAATACTCACCTGCTGTAGTGTTATGGAGTACGTGGAATCATAGAGGTATTGATAATTGGATACAGTTGTCTGTTCTCAACTTAAAGAGACTAGGTATTACAGGCTTAAAGCAAAACTGCTCTCACTGAAGTATTTTACTTTTAATATCTCAACTAAACAAATGTAATCACGATGTCAAATGTAAACCTTTATTAGTGTGTATAGTCTTAGTTCACGTTTTATACGGTGGGGGGGGGGTTTCAACCTAGTAAGTTTTTGGCATTCATACAGCATCCCAGATATATGAAGTATTCGACTCTTTCCAAAAGGTTACAATTAAAGGTGAGCACACTCAAATATTCTTATTTAGCTGGATGTTTGGACAGTATTTTAGACCTCAAAATTCATGGGATAACAGTTATCTTGATGACTTCATAGAGATCATCCAACCACAGTTATTGTACTACTAACGTTATACTCGGTCTTTGAGTTTATTGTCACTATATCATCGTCACTTGTGCATTTAAACTCCTTTTCTGTCGTTATTTTCTAATTTATCTTTATGCATCTCTTCACCGTACTCACCTGCTTGGAATTCTGGTCTGTTTGTATAGTTTGTAGTTATAAACAACTGATTTCATAGAATTATCTTCGGACTTTGATACAAACTAGGCATCTTACCTTCTGAAAGTCAAACGTCCAGGCGTGATTGTTGGCCAGGTTAACTAAAATGTTAGCTACTATATAGGAGTCAGATATAATCTCATCTAACTGGTCTCAATTACTGATTATCCAAGTCTTTAAGATAGACAAGAAGTCCTCTTGTTATAAAAACAGGGGAATCAGCCTGACGAACATAGTGTTTAAGATTCTAGGTCCTGTCATTATCAGATGTTTGAATAGAGCTTGAGGATAGAAAAACCGAGAAAATCAGGCACGTTTCACACTTGACCGTGGGTGTGTGGACCAGATATTCATACTCCCCCAGGTTCTAAGGCAAAGTCACACCTACTGACCCCCAAAACTAGCTATATTTCCTGACTTGAAGGCAGTATTCGACTTCTGCTGAGAGATCTTGTGGGAGTGTCTGTCGCTGAAAGAGATTCCTAGGTAGTACATCATCATTCTGTTGAAAGTTCTGTGCTTGAACTCCCTCGGGTGCGTTAGAGCCTCTTTTAATTTTTTGCGTCAAGTGGTGTCCATCAAGCGTGTTCAATCTCTCCATTCTTATTCAACTCTGTCACAGACGTGCTTATGGACGTCCTCCTCTCATCTCTGTGTGACTATACAGAAATTGATCTTATCACAATAGAATCCCTGGTAGATCTAGAGTACTCAGATGACAGTCTTATTGTGTTATATGTTAGTGAGAATATATAATACTTACGCTCAGCTAACTTGTACACTAGATACCGACGACTCAAAACCCCAGACTAAAGTAGAGAGAAATATTGTCTAGACGGGAGAGAGTTTATGTCTCCGAGAAGATTCTTCCAAATAACCCAAAACATATATATATATATATATATATATATATATATATATATATATATATATATATATATACAATTCGGAACAGTAATCCGGTAAAAGCGAGCATCAACCAATCAAAAAATTACCCTGATAATGGAGGGGGAAAGAACTACTAACGACAGTTTAAAAATGTTCAGATTAATAAATAATGTTTTGTGCGAATCCGGGGCCTCCCAACAAGATGAAGATTTCGACAAGCTGCAGAGTCTTCTGGCAATTTGAAAATGTTCAGGATGCGTCTCTCAATATCTAGATGCAAATTGTCGCTCCGGAACTGGTCTTCAGTGGCTCCCTGTCTAATAAAATGGGGAGTGTAGTGGGTGAGCGAAGTGACCACTTTACTTACCCGGAAAGTCAGATTAGCCTGGAGAAATTTCTGCACGGGTACAGTAGGCTCTATTGGCTTTCACCATCTGTGGCACCGTTGGGATATCCGGTTGTCTATTCAATGTTGAGTGTATTGTGCTGCAGTTCTCTCTCTTCTGATGTATATGGCTGTGAAACATGACGTTTAATGGTGAAGGATATGAGGAGGCTTGTGGTATCCAACGACTGTTGCCTTCGTATCATAGACCGTGTGTTGTAGTGTCACCACGTCAGTAATGCAGAAATCAGACACAGGGTTTAGGAAGAAGAAGAAAGTCAGCTGATTAGGGTGCGAACCTTTATTGGCTTAGGTGGCTGAGACATGTGGTAATCATGCCCAGTCACCATCTGCCTCATCAGACACTGTCAGCTGAATTAGGCTTATTCTGGAAAAAGGTTAGAGTTTAAACCAGTCCATGAAGTCTTTGACTATCGGTTTGATCCATGTACGTAATTGGTGGTAGAAGACTCTAACTGATATGGCTGAGAATCGACGTGAGTGGCGCAGGTGTATCCGCACATTATTGTCATGTGGTATTGTCATACTAAGTTTCAGTATTCTTTCACTCCTACTTGGTCTCTTAGGACGACTTCCTACTACTTTTGTTTGCTTTCTTTACTTATTGGTCTTTCATTTTGATGTATTCTTGATTAATGTGTTGATATGTGATGTAGCAACTTGTGCCGCTACTCAGTAATTCCAGATCCCATATTGATTTTGTCTGTCGGACTGACATAGTGCAGGTAATCCGTGTTATTGAATTCGGTTCGTAATTTACAAGTTGACCAATAATGAATTATAACTAAAAATATAAGCGAATACGTGAGGCATTTTATTGCAGCGCAGCTTACTTCCACTAATTTCACTTAAGTATGACTGGTTTGTTCGTTAGAAAATGAAAATACTTAAACAGACTGTGTGTTTGTGGCAATTTGAGACTGTTCGGCATGCACTTCTCACCGCCCAAATACAAATTGTTGCTCCAGGGTCGCTCTTCAAAGGTGCCTCGGCTGATTGTTTATTAAAGGTCGCATGTACTGCACAGCAGTCCGCTCTGTTCTGCTGTATGACTATGAGACATGGCCATTGAACGTGGAAGACATGAGAAAACTTCAGGTGTTTGACCACCGTTGCCTTCATAGCACAGACCGTATTCCATGGTGTCATCACGTGAATAATGCAGAAGTCAGGCGTTGAGTTTTAGGGAGTAGAGGCAAATCAGTTGACGAAGTTATGAACCTTCATCGATCGAGATGTATGGCTTCGACATGTGTTACGTATGCTTAGTCGTCGATCGGCTCGTCACACAATGTTGGCCGAAGTAGGTTCAGGCTGGAAAAAGGCCATTGGCTCTCGGCCAGACTAAAACACGTCACCAATATATGAAGTCCCTGGTTGTTGGTTTGAGCCATGTGGGGCGATGTAGACTAGCCGGTTGGGGTCGGTGGGACAAGAGAAACTAGTAGTTGGAGACTCTAGGTGATGTGGCTAAGAATCAATGTGAGTGGCGCATACATACATTATGCTTATCTTTACCACTATACCGAATCTCACCATTTTCTCATTCTTCCTTCCTCTCTCTCTCTCTCACTTCTTTCTACTTCGTGTGACCGATTTTCCTTCCCTTCTTCATCTTCCATTTTATTGCCTTGTTACTTGATGTGCTTATATGAAGTGTGGTAACTTGAACCGTTATACAGTAATGCCTGGTGGTCCCCTGTTGATTTGGATAGATAGTGTTCTTGTCAGTTGTTGCAGATAGCTCATGATATCGAGACCTGAGATCAGCAGATAAGATACATTTGGTGCCTCACTCTGCTTTGTAGGGTTTTTAAGAGATAAGTTATGTTTTTTTTTTTATCATGGAAATAGTAAATGGATGTTTTATACTTTTCCCTATAGGGTCGAGAGGCTCTTAACTGGGTAATCAGTCATCGACTTCCCACTATCCAACCATCTCATAACAATCAACCCGGCAATTTGATTCCTACCAAAAAGGATGAACAGTTGAATTCATTATATTCAGATGCTACGCTTTCACTCTCCGACTCATCTGCTCAGAATTTCGATTCATCTTTCCTAAAATCTAAACCAGTTACACTAAGTCCAGAGAATATATCACCATTATACACAAAATCTGCTGATTCATCTTTCTTCACTGAAATCTCCAGATATAATCCTTCGATTACAAAGTTTGCCAAAGATCAATCTGGAACTGATTCTTTGGGATCAAGGTTGCAGACATTTTCCCGTGATGTAACTGCTATTACTGACGCTTTAGTTAGACGTTCTCAACGAGTAGCACGTCTTTTTTCTAGAATTGATGAATATGTAGTTGTTCTTTGAGTGATGAAATTTGAATTACCTTTCTTATATTTCTAACTAATTCCTTTGTCGTAGTGCTTTCACTGTTTCTTGTAGAGAGTTAATCGTATTCCCACTCTGACAACAATATCTTCAAAGTGATGAAATTATTCTTGCTTCAATTGGATGGAAAATTTATTTCTGACGATATGTCTGACTTCGTTTATAGAATGGGTTTAGCGTCAGAGCAAACTGTTCGATTTCTAATAAATTAATTGTGATAATTGTAAGTTTCAAGCATTCGATTTTTGTCTACTGTCTAATCGATATATGCGGTGTAGTCTCACGCTTCATAAAGCAGTTAGCCTAATCACCTTTATAATCTCCTACAGTACAGAAGTTACATTCACCGGTTTCTCTTCAGCTGCTTACTACAAACTGAATTATCAGAAATAACTAACGGAGTATAACGGAAGTTTAACATACTTTAATTCATAAAGATGAACATCCAATCACTTATTGGAATAAACAGGAATCAACATATTTATTGATATACTTGTGATTCTCCCTTGTTTTATTGGATCGAATTGTTCGACCTCTATTGGCATATAGGCTCCTATGCGGACGCCTCGATATTGCTTGAGTGTTAATTATGGTAATTCGGTAGCAGAGGAATCCAGGACCAACCAAATTACCATAATTAACATTCAGGCAATATCGAGGCGTCCACATAGGGGCCCATATACCAATGGAGGTCGAACAATTCGATCCAATAAAACAACGGAGAATTGCAGGTAGTAATAACTACTACCCATTGTTCAAGAAGTGGCTGTCGTGCCTCCGTGACATAGTGGATAACGCCTTGGCGTTTGAAGTGATGGGTACGAGGTACGAGTCTCAGTGGGAACAACACCACTCACTGGGATACCGGTACATCCAGCTGACGAGTGCCAAGTAGGGTGAGACGCGCGTCCTGGATTCCTCTGCTAGTCACAACCAACCACACTACCAGGGATCAACACAGTTTAGTGAGGAATAAGAAATTAGTAAATCACACTAAATTATCATGCTTATATACATTATTATACAGATGAAATTGGATAGGGGCAGAACAAACTATTGTGGGGAGTTGTATCTAATGCGTTGCACTTAGCAACTATATTGCACGTTCGTGCAGTATGCACTGGGCCGCAAGTATTTTATGACGGTTAATGATACCACCTAGCCCACCTAGCTGATTCAACCCCTATAGGTGGGGCGGAGGTCGAAGTTAAGTCCTTAAGCTGATAAGCCACAGCTCCACTTTTGTGGGAGATAGAATATAAAATTGTGTTAGCAAGTCAATAGATAGATATGTTAAGAAAGTAAATTTTGTAAAATCTAGTGAGTCCAACTCAATTAGTCAATATTAACATGTCATATTGAATCGTAGTAGATGATGTCACAAAACAAGAATGTAAATTAACATGTAGATTTAACAAAATGGTTATGTAAGCAAGTAAAAATTTGAAGTTGGCTTACCAAGGCTTCTTTTTGAACATATAAATCAGCTTTCAGGCGAAACGTAAAAGACTTAAGCTAAGTTTGTTTGTTGGTTACCTTGAAAGACTTCACTATATCCTGTTGTGTTGGTTAGATGTCGGATGATCGCACTGTTAAAATTCTTCTTTCCGCCGACTTGTAATCTTTAGAACGTGTTCATAAAGTCTGAGGTAGGCGTTTATCCTTGTTCTCCCAGTTGGAGGTGAAATAAGAAGGGGACGTGTCAACTTTTGACTGCATTAGTGTGAACACAGTGTTTAATACGAGGGAATCAACCAACTTGGCTGCTGCCTTCTGTGGCCAGTTCTTACAATATCATCACCCTTAAAGTTTTGTTAACTGTACTCTTTGGAATATCTTCTTCGGTTTCCAATACACTTGTTGGTAAACTTCTGTGGACAGAGGTTGTTTTGTCAGCATTTCTCGATTATCTGTAACTTTTCAGTCAATCTACCACTGGGATCTGTCATTTTTGTTCAGTAAAACAAGATTTTATCTAATCCTCATTTGTAACTAACTGGGCAAAAGCAGTTAAAACTCATTTCACTTATGAAATGACCGAGTGAACAACGATAAATACGCGAGTGGTAATAACGTGATGAGACACTTGGACTGGTTACGAATACCGACTTTTCTACCTTAGAACCTCATGCTTCACTGAACCGCAAAAGACTGACCTATGACTGTAAGGAAGACACTGTTCGACGAAAATACATAATTTATTTACACTTTTCATGAACATATGGAATCATTAGGTTGAAAGTTAAATAGCTTATTTTGATTGGTTAACTGTGGGATAAAACTGTCCAATAAGGTATTTCCTTGACCACACAGTAATACAAAGCAAAAATTGAAATCCAAAACTTCTACTTTAGTGGTTGATGACGTGAAATGTTGATTTTCATTTAGGCCACTTCCTTACTCTGTCAGTGAAGAGAACTCTGCAGGAAAGCATCCGTTCTGTGTTGTATGGTCATATCAACAAAAGAACTTGCCATCATTCTTGTGCTCTATAGTAAGCTCAGTATTAGTAGAGGAGCTATTAAAAAATGTCAGCAAATTGAATGCATGGTTCAGATCCTTAAACATGCCATTCATATACCTTGAGCAAAATGTTGTTTCTCCAACCGCATCTTTAAGTTTTTTGCCAATAAATATGGTTACCACTCTATGTGTTTGCACTTTCTTAAGACAGATGAATCCATATGTTGGGTATTGTTTCATCATTTAAAAACACTATGTTACCATGTTTAGTTAGATAGGGGCAGCATAACTTGAAAAGGACTGACAATTAACAATGGCCAACAAACGCTTGAATTTTATCATAAAGAATTAGGAGCGTCGGTCCTATCGATAGTGAATAATTCTGTTTCACTGTGTGACACATTTAATAAGGGGACAGAAAATGGAATCACAATCTATCATGGTGTCCTAATTTACTCCTATATATTTATTCACAGGATGTTTGTGTACTAAGTGTATCCTGGCATTTTGATGATGGGTTACTGTTTCTTTCAGCGTATAATCATTAGAAATAGTCAGTGAAAGTAGTGAGGAGACGAAGACATAAGTATCCTCTGAAGTAAGACACAACATGCGCAACTTTATAACTACACATTGTCTGAGGAGTCATGCTGCTGATCTTGAGGTTCTGAAAATTAAGATAGAGAACACTTTTTCTATCCTCCCTATCATTACCATCATTAAATTCCGTTGAACTCAAACACCAAATGTATGAAGCGTGTTGGTGAGGTCACATCAAAATGAAAGTGTGTCGGATTACGTTTTTATAAGTTTTCGGAGGCAATTCATCGCACTGGAATAAAGCCATCTCGGTACTAGAAGTGTACTGAGTGATTTCCTGATAACATCAGTGACCCAGTGGATAACACTGTGGGGTTTTGGAGCGGTGGGTTCTGCGTTCGAGTCCCACTGGGAACATTCGGAGGCAGGTACAACTGACTAGTCCAAAGCAGTATGAAACATGCATCCTGAATTTTACGGCTAGCAACTATCCATCACAGCAATCAAATTGAAATTACCAATACTATCGAGGCATCTGTGCTGGAGCTCATGTGTCAATGATTGCCGATTAATTTGGTCCACTCACTGACGGGGAAATTGTGCATTTGTCTTTTTTTTCGTTCTGTCGTTTTTTTAAATGCTGTGAGTTGGATTATATCCACATGTCTTGATTCTTGCTCGTTTCATTCCTAGTCGTCTTACAGTTTTATAGTCATTATTAGCTTCGTGATACTTATAGAAATGGAGACAGCAAGCTTTTCATAACTGAATATCTTAGATGACCTAAAGGGTATTGAAGCTAAAAAATGATAAGTTATTGAGGTAATCTAATTTTCTAAAGATCTGCTTGTTAGTGCACAGTTAAATTGATTTGCTGTCGTCGGCTTTTTCGCTTTGAAGTAAGTTCACTTTCTAATAGCCATTGGAGAAACCCTTAATAATAGTTAACACCTAAGTCAGACTGTCAGTCAAGGATTCTTCCGAATTTCATGATATTGTCTTACCACTGTGTAACCATGTTATTCCAGTGTGCTGTGCTGCAGTCCGCTCTGTTCTACTGTATGGCTGCGAGAAATGGCCATCAAAGGTAAGAGGCATCAGGTGTTTGACCACCGTTTCCTTCGTAGTATAGTTGTATTCCGTGGTGTCATCACGTGAGTAACGCAGAAGTTAGGTGTAGAGTCATAGGGATCAGAGGTAAACCAGTTGACGAGGTTGCGAACCTTCATCGACCGAGATGTATGGCTTCGACATGTGTTACATATGCCTAGTTGCGATTGGCTCGTCACACAATGTTGGCCGAAGTAGGTTCAGGCTGGAAAAAGGTCCAGGTGGTCAAACTAAAACACGTCACCAATATATGAAGTCCTGGTTGTTGGTTTGAGCCATGTGGGGCGATGTAGACTAGCCGGTTGGGGTCGGTGGGACAAGAGAAACTAGTAGTTGGAGACTCTAGGTGATGTGGCTAAGAATCAGTGTGAGTGGCGCATACATACATTATGCTTATCTTTACCACTATACCGAATCTCACCATTTTCTCATTCTTCCTTCCTTCCTTCCTCTCTCTCTCTCTCTCTCTCTCTCTCTCTCTCTCACTTCTTTCTACTTCGTGTGACCGATTTTCCTTCCCTTCTTCATCTTCCATTTTATTGCCTTGTTACTTGATGTGCTTATATGAAGTGTGGTAACTTGGACCGTTGTGCAGTAATGCCTGGTCCTATGTTGATCTTAATAATGATGACGATAATGTTATTCATTCGAAAAACAATACAACCAAAAAAAACAGTTACAGTACTGAAAATATATATTATATTGTGCATCTGATTGTCTTGTGATATAAAATGTTACTGAACTATACATTTTAATCGGAAAACAATGAAAAATATTTCTGTCTTCATTGTCTTCTGTATTTCCTTGTGCACTTGATAGTCATAGTAATTTTGGAACTGAAACTGTTTGAAAAAAGTTAAAACATTTAGTTGTTTACCGGGTCAATCATTATTTTTTAATAAATAAAGGAGCTGTTTTACTACAAACTCTTCTGATTACAGACAAAAGACTGATGGATCTTTAAAAGATGATGGTTACTAAGACTATCTGTGAGAGAAAAAGGCCAGTAATAGAACTCTTAAAATAGGTATCCGTAAGGAGATAATGGGGACTTCAACTGGTAATTTAGCCACCTCATATATACCATCTAGATCGGATTGTAACATCATGCCGACCAAAAATGATTCTTACAGTTTACCTATAAACAGCTTTGACGTTTATTGGTTAGCGACTGTTAATTACAAAAGAATTAGCTACAGTTCCTCAGATTCGATTGACTGTTAACCATTAATTAATATTTATGCAAGGAAACAAATCTTATTATAGACACTAGCTGTCAGAAGTCATAAACAGTATACCCCAAGAGATTTGAATATTCAATTTGGAGATTTGATTTCAGGTTGGTATTCATCATGGACTGACATCAGTTGGAGAAACATTGGACAGCTGCTTCGTCTTAGTATGGCACTGCTCAGGAGTGCATTGATTTCAGGCCATGATGATAACCAACCTGAAATCAATCAATCTCCACAAACCTCCAGATTGAATTAATCTAGTGCTCACTGGTAACTAGTTTCAAGAAGTAGTTGCTGAAGTTCCAATGAGAAGTTGTGACCGGTGGAGTCAAACAAGCCAAACATGAGGACAGTTACTCAACAACGACACTGGATGTAAGTCGAGCTATGTCGTGAACTCATAGAAGTAGGAAATATGTACTACTGGATTTCGACCAAGTAGTTCAATGGTTACGTGTTGGCCCCGGAACCTGAAGATAATGGGGTCGATCTCTGGTTTCGTCATGGGTGCGCACCGCTAAGGAGTCTCACTAGGACGAAACATCTTTACAGTGTTCCCAAGTTTCCGATGCTTCTCCAACGGATGTCAGTCTATGATAAATACCAGCCTGAGATTTGAAAATTTTTCATGCCTAATAGAGCGAGTTAATCTGTAGAGCAACGAGAAATATTACGCTAGTTGAATTTCGAAATGGTGAAAAGGATTCACAGCTTAGGTTGTTTCATCTTTATGGTGTTGTGTGTTCCCTAAACTGGATGGTCTTCTCGTAAAACTGTTATTGTCTTTCTAGACTACATCATCACCATGAACTTCAGTATAAAGTGAGATAACAGATTGGTTTTATTGGTTTATCTACCAAAATAGTCTTCGTCTAGTTTTTTTCTTTGATTGCACACATTCTTCGTTTGGTCATTTCTCTGTTATTGATTACCTTTACTATCATTTTATAAATTTCGCGGGTATCTATGCAGCTTTTGATTGCTGAGTACCAAGTTTCTAGAGATTCATTGGCAGTTTTTGTGTTTCTCCTCTCCACGATCTCTGCATTTGCAAGATCAAATTTGTATCCACATAGATTAGTACAAGGGGTGATATTTCTTGCCGTTTAGTTTCCACCTGATTTTCATGTAAACGAGGATGAGGAGAGCAACTATTTTATTCATTCTAGCCTTTGTCGCAGTTGATTTAGCAAATAGTTTGTCTTCCTCGACCATGGAATCCTTTGGCTTGTATGATACATCTTGAAGACAGTTTGTGGATTCATCAGCTGTGGATCTTCAGATTCCATGGCCAGCACGTTACCATTGAGCCACTAGGTTGTAATCCAATGGTACATATTTCCTACTTCCTCACTTCCTAACTATACTCATGTTCGGGTTGTTTGACTCCACCGGTCACGACTTCTCATTGGAACTTCGGGAACCACCTCTCAAAGCTAGTCACCAATGAGCGCTAGATCCCTGGGGGGGGTCGTAAGTGCACGCTGCTGAGGATTCCCATGCTAGGACGAAACAGCTGTCCAGTGCTCCCAAGTTTCCAATGTTCTTCCAACTGATGTTAGTCCATAATGAATTCCAGCCTAAAATTTTAAAACTATTGCTTACTTACTACTATCCTACTTTTACTACGTTCTATTCAATAACATGAATATGCCATTTAAATGCATCAATTATGAAATTTTGTGACCCAACTGGCTACCTGGTATTTACACCGTGATTTTTAAGACTCTTTACCTCAACATCCATTGCTGATTGATTTTTCAACCTCTTACAGCACTTGAATTCTCATGGCAATTGAATGAGTTAAACAAATGCAATAGTATAATTGCTTTTATTATACCGTCGTTGATTGGACCCAATTGATCGGTCTCTATTGGCATATAGACTCCTGTGCTGATGCCTCAATATAACCTGAGTTCTAATTATAGTAAAGATGGCGAGTCCCAAATAAGACGAAATACGCATCTTGGATTCCACTGCTAGCCATTATCCATCTTTACTATAAACAAATGCAACTTTATGCAATTGTCAAATGGAACATAGAACAGATATTACGTCGGTCGATTGAGCTAAAATGTTTGAGTGTAATGTTAACTTTTGTATATATAGGACTGCTGGTAGTAATGTACTTACCAGGTGCTGAAGTCATTTGTAACAGCTGACATCCAACAGGTTCTGGTGGACGTGAGTTGACTGATAGTATTCCACTTTTCTAAAATTGTAAATAATCTAATTTTGAGTTATTATATTCTGAAATATATGTGAATAATTTGCATGCAATGTATTTCTTCAATATTCGTAATAAATTGTGAAGTCAATCAATCAATATCAACATAGGACTAAGCATTACTGCGTAACGATCCGAGTTGCCACGCCTCATACCAGTACATCAAGTAGAAAGGTAGTGAGGTGAAGGATGAAGATAAGAGAATAAATTGTGAAGGGTTTAATTGAGTCAAAAACAAATTTATTGACAGTATCTGAATGAATAATGTTCTCTTGAATACATTTTCATCATAGTCTACTATCATAAAATCCATTTGTAAAATGTGAAAGCAAGCCAAGTTAGAAGCAAATACATTTTCAATATATGGAGTGAGCTTTAAGGAATGTAAATGTTCTCGTTTACGGAGATACCCTCTGTCTAGTCATCGTACTCGCCATGTAACTTGTTCCACAGAAATAATTTAATATATGCAGAATGAGAACATTTATCAACTTGGTTCAGAAAAGGCGAAGTGAAAGTGGTGAAGAGTTCCATCCTAGTGCATCCAGCAGACGTAGGACATCACATAAATGCTACTACATCATATTCCAGACAACGATATTACGTGTAGCTCGCGAACACCTGTTCAACATACGTGAGGATGTCGCAGTAACATTGATCAACCCCAAACTATGCCTTCATAAAAATCATGTTCAAATGTTATTCCTCCCTAAGCCTTCAGCCTAACTGAAAGCCAATGCGTGTCTTCTTTATTCGTTTTGTTTTCGGTCACCACCCTATTATTCATCTGTATGTATATTACATCCCAACATTCGTGCTACATGCCAAGTGATTTACAATCGAAAGCTTATTGACACCTTTGAAGTGAAGACAGGAGTAAGACAAGGCTGCCTACTATCATCACCGATGATCTTCCCGACTGAAGTGGACTGGATCATGCAGCAAACTGTGAGGAGCGAGAAGATGGGCATACACTGTTTAATTGATGGAAAGACCGTAAAAGATTTGGATTTCACCACCGATGATGATTCATGTCTAATGTCTTGTCGCACAAACTCGAAGGACGACGGGACTGACTTCAGGTGAACGTAGAGAAGACGGAGGTGATGAAGATACCCAACCAACAACAAAAAGAGGCACCAATCACCATGAACGGAAGAAATGTAAAGGAAGTAGTCTCTTTCACCTACCTAGGCAAGGCATCATCTTTTCAACTACAGGCAATCGAGACGAGGACGTCAAATCAGCCAGAATCGGAAAGAGCAAGACAGGCCTGCTTTCATTGATCTGAAATAATCAATGTGGAGATCTATTGCACTACATTGCACTCAGCATAAAGCGTGAGCAACATCCGGATTTCCAACACTAATGTCAGTCAAGTTAGTCAGTGCTTCTATGTGATTGTTGGGAGACTTGGAGGCGCGTTACAAGAAACATTTCCAACAAACAGGAGACACGTGAACAGCTGTTGCCTACACTCATTCGATACTGACACTGAGGATCGGATGGATGGCCAGAATAATAAGAATAAGGAATGAGGAGCAAGGAACTCATTCTGGCTGGGTAGCTGGCAACGAACCAACCAAGAACTTATCACCCAATGTGTATACAGAAGGAAGTGGAGATGGATTGAGCATGCACTGAGAAGACCGATTGGGGACATCACGGTCAGGCGAGGCTAGGCGGTGGAGTGAAATCCAAATGGGGAAGGACGAGTTGGTCATCTGAGATGAGGGTGAGATGGAGTAGGTGGTGTAAGGGAGAAATGAAAGCTTCTGAGTAGTCGTGGAGCCAAGTTGAAAAGACTACAGAGATGAGAGTGTAATGGCGACGTGCTACTGAAGCTGTATGTTCCTCTAAGAACTCAAGGGACAAATAATAATAGTAGACATATTTAAGAAGGAAAAATCGATCTATTTGCAGTTCTTAAATCTCACTCCATATTGAAAATGTATTTGCCTGTAACTCAGCTTCCTTTCACAATGTACAAATGCATTTCATAATTGTAGAACCTGAGTGGAATTTATTGAAAAGAATATTCTTCTTTGTTCAGATTGTTTATTTTTAAATTGTAGGTAGGAATTCTTCATGGACTGACATCAGTTGGAGGAAAATTGTAGACCTGGGAGCGCTGAAGAGCTGTTTCATCCTAGCATAGGACTCTTCAGCAGTGCACACTCATGACTTCGCCCGCCAGGGATCGAACCCACGATCTTCAAGTTCCCGGGGCCAACACGTCACTACTGAGTCACTGGATCGTAATCCAATGGTCTATATTTCCTACTTCTATCAGTTTGCCATAGAGTATGACCTACAATTTACTATTAACTAGTGGTTGTTGAAAGCTCGGTTGAATAATTAGGTAGAAAGAGATGTGGTTTAGTGACTAGATCATTCTTTTTTTTAAACATTTGGTCCAGAAGTGAAATCTTTATAAGCCTACTTCGACCTCGGCAGCTGAATGGTATCTTAAGCCCTTACACATTAGGTGCATACATGTGTATGCTGAGTTGAGCGCCATTATTAAGTTGCAATATTGAAAAAATCTATTTTCTTGAGCAGTTGTGTAATCCAACGTACACGAAACCCCTCTAGTGCAGTACAATTCTACTGAACAACTTGAGTAGTCAGAAACAACGCAAGATGATCTATAGCTTTTGTCAGTCAGATCACAGTGGTCTAAGTATCGAACGGTCTTTTCACTCGTTCGGGACGAGCTCATCAGAGATGTACCTGGACAAATTAAATTAGTAGAGTTGAGTTAGTTCAGATCACCTGAATCTGACTAGCTGACTTGCATGCACCAGTATACCTGAAAAAGGATGATTTGAATTTGTTTGGGTACACCGCTAATGAGCTTGGCCCCAAACAGGCAAAACAGCGATCTGGTGTTTAAGTTACTCTGATCTGGCTGGCCAAATCTACAGACTAGGCTAAATGGCTTCTAATTTCTCAAGGTATTCAGTAGTGGTATGCTTCGCTAGTTCATGGCACTTTTGTGTCAGAGATCACATCTAGTGATCTAGACTTACGAGTGGTTTTCAACCGAAACCTTATTGATACCGCAGTTGGAAAACTAATCAAGTGTGAGAAATGTTAGCATAGAGCGTAGAATTTGTAAATCATTTACAGATTGATCATCTTATAAAACCTCTCTTCTTTGTATATTTCGACTACCTAGTAACTGTAACAGACAATCCATAGAAATGAGTTCGAATCTCTTTGTACTGATCTCATCCACAGAGAGCAAATAGTACAAATTCAATGATATTTTTATCATTTTAACTATCTGAGATAGCCATGGTTTGGCAGACTAGTATTTATACTGGGTAATGATTGATGGTGAACTGAAATGTGGGTCGCGGCCGGATTCGAACCAGGGACTGGTAGTGCACCGGGCCAAAAACCCTGTGGTAGTTGCTGGTTCAAATCCGGCCGCAGTCCAACTGTTTACTTCCGAATATATAATGGGTTCAGCAAATGAAATTCAAATTGATACCCTTTGTCTGTTCAGTACGATGAGTACGATGACCTATCAACCTCGTGCTGTATGTCAGCAAACCTTTAGACTTTTTATGTAGGCATCTTAACTAACTTAAGTGATTATTTACTTACTGATTGAGGTTTTTTGCAGCTGATGATAGTCCTACTGAGTGAAATAATGTTATCCTATTTGACTTACATGCAACTGATTTTTCTTTCAGTTCAATGAACTAGTCTGGTTTAAAAATGCCTCATTTCTTTTGACAGAATATTCTGCTTACACTTAACTTAGACGTTTTAACCATTACAAACAAGTAATCAAGTTAACATTTCATTGATTAGCTAATCATAGATCTATGTCTCATGACTTTATTGAAGTATTATTTAGTGATAACACTCCCTCTCCGCAGTGGGATTTCCATACTAATGATCAGAAGTAAAAGAAACTTTTATTCAACTATCCTTCATATCCGTTAGACCTCAACATACGTCTAGAATATACTTAGGCAATCAATTTCACCTTACCGAAGACAGAGAAACACACTAAACTTTCAACAACCGTAAAATCTTTTCACACATGTGTATGCAAATAAATATTTAGTTTATTTTCAGTCTATAAAAATAATTCTACTGAAAAACATTCATAGATGAGAAAATGTAAGATAAAAAATAGTCCAATTTGGAGAATTGTGAGGATTTATTTATTTATTTCAAGTTGGTCCTAAATTTGATCTATAGTGAGATCATGGGTACGCACTGCTGCGGTGTCCTCTATTAGGACGAAATAAGTATCCAGTGTTCCTAAGTTTCCAATGTTACTTCAACGGATATCATTCCATGATGAATACCAACCTGGAACATATAATAACCTCAACAACAATAGAATAAGAGGTATAATATTTACGAAGAAATGTGAAACACTGCTAAAGGTTAACTTTTCAATGCACCTATAATTTCTCTTTTATGCTACTGGTCAATCAAATATTTAAAGCGACAAATATTGATTGTACTGATTGGATTAGATTAGAAGAAAGTGAATTTTATCATATCCAGAAATCAGTCAGTCACTGCGTTGTATGTATTTGGTTGTCTAGGGTTTTGAGTATTCTAGATCGTGTTCACCCTAAGTTTTGCTAATAATAGATTCTTGAAGCTATCTGTTTCCACAACATAACACTTTCCTTATATTCACTGCTTTCAGAAGAGCCTGGTAGTTTAATCATTGTCGGCTGTAGATTATTATTATTATTTGTCCCTTGGGTTCCTAATGGAACATAGGGCTTCAGTACCACGTCTCCCTCAGTGTGCTCGTGGTTGTCGTCTGGGTGACAGTATTCGAGTAGATTATTGACTTTCCTCTCGAGTTGACAGTTTGGAGAATCCACTTCCATTCCATCTGCTTTCTCAAATTTCTAGCACTTCAATGCGGTACCTTAACATCTCGTTTGCAATCTAGGCTGCCTTGTTAGGTTCAAACACGGTGCGGACATTCCATGTCCCCACGTTTACTTTCGCTTTCATCGAGGTAGAGAAGACACATCGGCCCGGCCAACTGGCTTTCCGAAGGCTTTCACCAACTGGCATCATTTCGCCTCTCGGATTCGAGCGAGGAATAATTTTGTTTTTATTTTTTATATTTTGTTTGTGCTTTGAAGTTTCTGTAGTGGTTGGATTTTTTTCCCGGTGTAGGGTTGTTAACTCTACGCCCAATCTTCCCTCTTTACCCGAGCTTAGGACCGGCTATTAACTAGTGAACTAGTTAACCAGGCGAGGTTGTTGGCTGTAGATAGTAAACATTTTCTGCCTATGTTTATTATTTGTGAGAATTTAAGGTTCTAAGCAGTAGTAAGTCCATATTATGATGTATAAATCCCCCTGTGGAAATTCAATATGAGTGGATTATGTGCCCTGAAACAATGTGGACAAGACTATGAATCTATAACATACATTTTCATCCAATCCCACTTTTTAAATGGGACAAGTAGACGTAAGGTACTTCAGTTTGACTCTGATATCGATCTACGTATTTAACCTTACAGTTGTTGCCTGAAATGTTATCAACTATCTCTGTGGTGTCAACAGGAATAACATCACTCACCGGGTCCTAAATGAGATGAAACACACTTCACGGATTCCACTTATAGTCACCAAATAGATTACAATATGATGAGTATCTAAGTAGTATTACGATATCCGCATAGAAGCCCATCTCTAGACAGAAGTCGTGCAATCGACCTAGTATGGCAACTGGGAATTCCAAGTATCCATAAACCGGAAGTGATACCTGTTGTACAATGAGACGTCTGTCCTACTCTAGTATCTTAATGGATAGTGTTTTGGCGTTTGAAGCGATGGGTACTAGGTTCGAGTCCCAGTGGGAGTAAAATCACTCACTGGGGTGCAGGCACATCCAGCTGATGGGTCTCAAACAAGATGAAACTAATGTTCTTGATTCCACCTCTAGCTACTAAATAGGCTATAATGTAATCAAACAAATTCTCTCCACAAGGTTCTCTAGGAGTTTTTAGTCTACAAAGCTGTTTTTTCAGTGAGTTCAAAGGTTTGAATGCCATTGTATTCTTCACTTTTGGAAATTCTATATAAATCGTATGAAGTCACTTCCTTGTGTAATGATAATGTAGTTTTTGACTTCCCATTTCTACATGTTGTAATAATAATGGCAAAAAGTAACGATTGTGAGGTGAAATACACAAGTCGTAATAGTTGACCAGATTTAATTAGACTTAAGGAACACAAACCTTGACCAAATCTACAGTGGTAAAGCATAAGCAGATTTTAAAGAATTTACATAAGATTCAGTTGTAACATTACTGTAACTATATAATAGAATGAAATAGACTGATAGTTCTACAAATAAATTTAGCAGGATACAAGAAGAGAGTGGGAGGTGCAGTTTGTTTATTTGGTCAGCACCGAATAAATCCAGCAAAAATAAAATTTATTTCGGATACCTGTAAAATTATCTTACACTAATCAAAAGAAGTAGACCTATAAAAATGGAGTGTGAAAGATATAGAGTTACCTTTGTTATGACTATTTATTATCATTTATTATTTGTCCCTTGGGTTCCTAGTAGAACATATGGCTTCAGGAGCACGTCTCCACTGCACTCTCTTCTCTGCAAACTTTTGAACCTGGTTCCACAACAATCCAGAAGCTCTCATTTCTTCCTCACACCATCTCCTCCATGTCACCCTCACCTCAGACGACCAACTCGTCGTTTCCCATTTGCATTCCACTCAACGGCTTGGCCTGACGCGTGATGTTCCCCAATCGGCCTTCTCAGTGCATGCCGAATCCATCTCCACTTTCTTCTGCATATTTGTTGAGGGATAGATTCTTGGTTGGTTCGTTGCCAGCCACAGTGAGTTCCTTGTTGCTTATTCTTTCTGGCAATCCATCTGAGCTTCAGTAATGAGCCAGCGTAGGCACTTGTTGATGAATGTCAGTAGTTTGTTGGAAATGCCTTTCGTGACGCTCCAAGTCTCTGAACCATATAGAAGCACTGACTTGAAGTTGGTGTTGAAAATCCGGATGTTGTTCACGCTTTATGCTGAGAGCAGAAGATCTCTACACTGATTTCAGGTTAATGAATGCCTGTCTTGCTGTCTTTCCGATCCTGACTGCATTGACGTCCTCGTCTGTGCCACCACCGCCTGTAGTTGAGACAGTGCTGCCCTGCCCAGATAGGTGAAGGAGGCTACTTCCTTTAAGTTTTTCCGGTTGATGGTGATTGGTGTTTGTTGTTGTTGGTTAGGTATCTTCATCACGTCTGTCTTCTCTACGCTTACTTGAATTCCCGTCTCCTCTGCCTCACCTCTTCTGTCAACTTGTTGAATTTTGGCTGTAGATCTTCGAGTATGTGTGACATTAGACCCAAGTCATCGGCGGAATCCAAATCTTCTAGGCTCTTTTCATAGGTCCAGTCAGCGTATGCCCATCTTTTCTCTCCTCACTGTTTGTTGCATGATCCAGTCCATCACAATTAGGATTATCATGGGTGATAATAGGCGGCAGCTTTGTTTCACTCCTGTCTTCACCTGAAAGGCATGAGTGAGCTTTCCATTGTGAATTACTTGTCATGTGGCGTCTTCATATAGTTGTTGAATAAGGTTGATAAAGGTTTGTGATATTTCGTAGTGTTGGAGCAGTTTCCAAATTATTTCTCGGTTGATGCTGTCAAAGGCCTTTTCAAAGTCGATGAAGTTGATTTGAATTGACTGCCATTCTGTACTCTGTTATAACTATGAACAATAATTAAGTTGTATTCGAAACATCATCCATCACTAGGTGAAATATGCAACAAATAAACTAACATCGAGTTATACACTATCATGGGATCTTTAAGTTATACTTTTATATGTATATCAAATCATATAAACTCACTGATTTAATTAATTTTTGACTTCTGAATTGTGTTTCAGCACAATTTTAACTAAATCACATTTGGACATGTATTGCATTACCTCCTGAAAATTGGGGATAATTATATACAAAACAATTTATTTTATATACTAGTCTAAATAAAAATTTATAGATAAGGATATTATATTTCAAATAAGCTCTTATCAATTCTAGCAATGTATCTGAAGAAGTTTATAGTAATAAGAGATAGTGGAATCCAGGGCGAAATGCGCACTGTCTATCCAATTGGTCGATCCATTGTTCAGAGAATATCGAAGCATCTACACAGGAACCTATATGCTAATGGAGACTAATCAACAATGGGATAATACAAGCAACAATATACCTGAAGAATTCTTTTCATTATATCCAACTGATGTCAGTCTTCGATGAATAACAACTTGAAATATTTCATTATATCGTTATTATAGAATATCAAAGTTTATGACTAGAACAAATAATGGCGACAGGGTTAAGAGAGAATTCAAAGCCTCTTCTGTGTTATCATACAAGGAGGGCACCTCAGAAGCATTACGAAGAATTCTCAATAAGGCTGTAGTTAAAATGGCATTCAAACCAACAAACTCACTTAGAAACAAGCTTTATAGGTTAAAAGGCCCTATCGATGCAATTAAGCAAAATAATCTAGTTTACCAGATAGATCCCTTTCAGTGATTGCGAGGTCAAGTACATAGGTCAAAGCAGTCGACTAATCAGGGTCGATTAGAATAAGAGCACAAAAACTTGACTTAATCGAGATTAGTAGATTCTAATAAGATAAGAAAAGCTTGGCTATAGCTGTGCATGTTATGACACACAATCACACAGTACAGTGAGATAGGGCGACAGTGTTGAAAACTAACTTCGTTGGGTGGAGGGAGGGAGAGATTGATAACCGAATCTTTGTTTATCGAATCAACACCAAACACATGCAGTGATGGAAATGATTGTGCACCTGTCCCAGATATATGGTGAATTCTACTACCCTTGTCCTCACAGAGAAGGAGAGAAAATTAGGAATACATAAAGTGAGTCTCGAAGTTCCTGATATGAATATGGACAATAAATTGTGTCCGAAACGTTATCAAGTAAATGCTACTGTTTCACTGTGTGATATTTCTAATAAACAGACTTAAATGGAATTACAATCGACCACAGTGCCTAAGTTTTACTCTTACATTTCCTATACGCATTCAAAATGTATTTCAATGAAAAGTTGTCATAGAAACTAATGTCAGAATAAGTTTAAGTGTAGATATTTAATTGAACAAAGTGATTAACTAGTCGAAACGTTTGTCAAATAGCTAATGTTCAGAGTATGAAAGTTAAGGATAAACAGGAACGAGCAAGATGTTAGCATTTTAGTAGATGTGTATGTTGTACTGAATTTTTATCCCATGCTATTACAACTGATATTATTAAGCAGTAATTCCTATCATATCAAATCAACCATTCGTAAATCTGACTTCGCATACAACAAGGTTATATTAAATTAATGCGAGAATACAATCCTAACTGAAAGTAATGTTTTTGGTGAGTTCAAGTAATTCATCATTGTTAGGTTTTATGTAGTCAAGATATTTCAGAGGAATAGGATGGTTAAAACCTAAATCGGATCGCAATGCACTCATCAGCCTTGTGCATATTTGTGTACTAGACACTGAGCCCCACCTATTTTGTATGATGACAAAGGATGGTATCTGGTTGCCCAAACCCCTGTATGTACAGACGTATTTGAACCCGTATACCATTAGTTGAAAGTCAACGAATAAACTGTAGCACAGACAATAAATTTTAGAAGTTAATTCAGTGAAAGTTTTTTTTCAAGTTGGTATTCATCATGGATTGACATCAACTGGAGGGATGTTGGAAACCTGGACAGCTGCTTCCTCCAAGTATTGGACTCCTCAATATTGCGTACCCGTGACCCCGCCTCCCAAGGATCGAACCTAGGACCTTCAGGTTCCGTGGCCAGCACATTCCCGTTAAGTCACCTGGTTGGAATCCAGTGGTCCATATTTCCTACTTCCGTCAGTTCACGATATAGTGCGACCATCACCCAATGATATCATTGAGTATTTGTCCTCAAATGCACGTGGTTTGCCCCACCGGTCACGATTTCTCATTGGAACTTCAGGAATCACCAATGAGTACTAGTTCAATCGAATTTGGGGGTTTTTGGGGATCTACAGATGTTTTTCAAGTTGGTATATACCGTGGACTGATATCAGTTGAAGGAACAGTGAAAACCTGGGACCACTGGACAGCTGTTTAGTTCTAGTATGGGACTCTTCAGCAGATCCCGAAACTTAATGAAAGTTTGTCTAACTCCCATGTATAACTACTATGGTTCGACTAATATAATCGAAGGTGGATGGAGTCAAAATATCAGGATATGATATTTCTTAATCTTCTCAACCTAGAAGAGAATTCACATGACCTAATTTAGAATCCCATCGAAAGGTAACTAAACATCGATCATAGTAAAAGTTAGTGGATGATTGAGTGTTATAGCTGACAAAGCTCTGGTCCTCTTCCCTATAACCTATTCTCAAAGTAGATCATCGACATATCACTTCCAGTCGAACTTTTAACAGCCACTAACTTTTTTGAAACAATCTTTCTTGGATATTGATGTTATAGCGTATATATCTGCATTTTGGATTCAACCGAATTGATTGGCCACTGCTGACACATGCACTCTTGTGTGGATCCCTCAATAGTATCGGATTTTTTGATTGAGTTTGGTAATGGACAGTGACTAACCCCATCGCACAAGGAACGGCTATCATGACCCAGCGAATAATTATTTGTCGTTCGAAGTGGTCTGTCCTTGGTTCAAGTTCCAGTGAGTACGACATCTTTCACCGGGAGGTAGACTGACTGGGATGGTTAGTCTCAAATAGGATGAAGCTCATGTCCTGGATTTTACTGCTAGCCACTACTCATCATTAACATCTCATTTGTCCGAGAATCCCAAATAGATGGCGATTATTGGGATAAATGATGCTAACTTTCGATTTTTATTGATTTATTACAGTGAAAGAACAGTATTGTTTACTGGACCATGGTTCAAACATAATTTATTGTCCATAATCATATCAAGATGACTACACAACTTTGGGATATCCTTTATATCGTTGTAATTTCTTCACCCCCTTTGTGATATAGGCAGTATGATTTTCCATATATCTGGAACAGGTGCTGAGTCAATTCTGTTGTATGTGTTAGGTGTTGATTTGATAAACAAAGATTTACTTATCAATCTCTCTCTCCACCATGGAGTTAATTTCAAGAATCTTTACCCTATCTTATTGTATGGTTTTGTTTAAATTCCTTACCTTACTAGGATCCACCAATTTTGACCCAGCTAGGTTTTTGTGATTGGATAGCATAATTAACATTGGTCGACTATTTTGACTGACTTGTCTGTTTGATTCGACGGTCGTTGAAAGGGATATGATAAACCAAGTTATTCTGTTAAGTTGGATCAGTAGAATCTTTTAACCTACAAAGCTTATTTCTAAGGTAGTTCGTAAGTTTAAATGCCACTCTAATCCCAGCAGCATTAAGAATCTTATGTAGTGTTTTTGAGGTGCCTTCTGTGTATAGCAATACTTTAGAGGTTTTGAATTCTATCTTCACAGTATTGCTACTACTATTGTTAACATTATTACCACCAGTAGTTTTACTATTATTATCACTATTATTACTACTCTTTATATTTGTGTTGCTGATATTTTTCTTACAATTCCTAAGGAGCTTATCAATTAATTTGGGAGGTTAATAGTTGATGAGTAAGGTGTCTTTAATGTATCTGGTTTCTTGTCTCAGATTTTCTGTTTTACTAGTAAGTTTTTTGGCCCTGCCATTGATTCAATTAAGCAGAATAACTTGGTTTATCAAATCTCTTTCAACGATTGTCGTATCAAATACATAGGTCAAAGTAGTCGATCAGAGTTAGTTAAGCTATCCGAACACAAAAACGTAGTTACGTCAAAGTTGGTAGGTCCTACTAATGTAAGGAATTTAGAAAAAAAGCCCAGCCATAGCTATACATGCGGTTGCACACAACCACACAAGATAGGGTAAAGATTCTTAAAATTAACCCATGGTGGAGAGAGAGATTGATAAGTAAATCTTTGTTTATCAAATCAACACCTAACACATACAACAGAATTGACTCAGCACCTGTTCCAGATATATGGAAAATCATACTGCCTATATCACAAAGGGGGTGAAGAAATTACAACGATATAAAGGATATCCCAAAGTTGTGTAGTCATCTTGATATGATTATGGACAATAAATTATGTTTGAACCATGGTCCAGTAAACAATACTGTTCTTTCACCGTAATAAATCAATAAAAATGGAATTATATTCTAATATAATGCACAAGTTTCACTCTTATGCGCTAACTTTCCTTATCTATAAAATCCTATGATCGTCAACTACTTTTGTTCCTTATAAAAGTTGAAAATATACCGTTTTTCACAAGGTTTATCACAACATTTTTTCATCCTAATGAAGAAATCTAATAATATTTTCGGATCATGCCTTCCTTTAGCCTTGATTATTATGCTAATTCTATGTTGTATTCGTATAGTCCTATGCTAAATCAATGCTACTTCTGAAACCATTGTTAGATAAATTAGGGTACAGGTTCTTCAATAACCAAAACTTTAATAATATTCACTATGGTGCATATAAGAGTAGGCATGTTATGACATAACTAGTACGTGTTTCCACCTTTCTGTTAGAGTAGGCTAAATAGTATTCATTGAAATTATTCCTTTTCGTTGTTTGTACTGCAGTTAATAACTGTATTATTAGTTGTTACTTCGAACCGTCACTCAAGTTTCTACAATTCTCCTCTTTCATGAGTTTCAACAAAGCTAGAAGAACAATAGTAGTCTACAATTCTGAACGTATCCAAAGGAATTTCAAGCTTAAGAGTCGACAAGGTCGTTCGGTATTTGCGTGGTACAGATATAAAATTGACAAATTGAAGTCGTTAAAAGTTATAAATTTATTATTATTATTTTTCCATTCGCTTCCTGGTA